GCGGGGGGCCGCGGCGGAGCAAGGGTCCTCTCCCTGCCCCGGAGCATCTCCCTGGCTCCCCGGGGGGACGAGGCTGTGGCCCGGCAAGGTGGCCGTCTCTCGGCCCTGCCTGTTGAAATGATTGAGGCGTTTCTCTCTCATTATTTTTTTTTTTCAGCCTCGCCGGCCCTTTCCAAGGTCGCAGCGCGGGGCACCCGCTGCGGGGCCAACCTGAGACCCCTGCCCCGGTGCTCGTTTATCCCAAAAAGCGTTCGGGTTTCTCGTTGGCTTGCTGGACAGCAGGGACTGCTCCTTGCTGTCCTCCAGCGATGGGTACCGCGGGGGTTGGCGCTGCCACCCCACCTGTTGGTGCAGGTGGGCATCCCGCACACCTGCAGGGGTCTGCAGGCCACCTCCCGGAGGAGGACTTGTTACTTCACAGGTGCAGGACTTGGATGTCGAGGCGCAGTGTTCTATTGCTGCCCTGCCCTTATCGAGTGTATCTAAGTTCTGGAAAAAAACCACAACAAAACAAAAACAAACAAAAAAACCCCAATAAACACCAAAAACCCACAACAAACCACAAACCGGCAAGTTAAAAAAAGTGTAAGTCTGTGAGGATTTTCTACTGTGTTTTTAAAAGTAACATTTAAATATCTGTGAAGGAGGAGGGATTTGAGCTCTGTTCCTCTAGTGGTTTTCAGCAGTTGAGCAGGCCAACCATTTCTAAAGAAATGTGAGTTTATTTCTGAAATGACTGTATCTTTGTTGTTAATCTCTGTTTTGAGGTATCATAGAGCAGTACATGATAATGGAAGGAAATATCAGATTGCTAATGTTTGCTATGCAAGATGTAATTGTTGGACCGTGTCTTGCCAAGACCAAAAATTCTGCCAATATTTGTATGGGGACATTATTGCTGTGGCTTGATTTAACTATTGGTGGTTTAGCTGCGTTTTCAGTACAGGATATGTAAGTAGTTAGATGTTGGTTTGTGCCCCTGTTAGTCTTTGTAATACTGAGAGAAGCCATACTGCTCTTTGTGTGGTAACTTCTGTAAAACGTGTAGTAGTTTTTCATAATGTGATCTGCTTTGTAGTTCTTAAAACTTCTTTAAAGTGTATTTGTGTATTTATGTACAGACACGTAAAACTTGATGTGCTTTCTAACTATTTACTTCATTGATCAAAAAGTGTTGTGACTGTAAATGGCCTGATGTATCTGTAGGAATTTGTGAGTCCCATTATGTCGTTAGCCACATAGTATTCATTTTTGATGACTCTTACTGTTGAGAACTGTACCTAATGAAGGTTGAAGCAATTTGGAATTTATGTAAAGCCACCAGTGAAATGGTGTCCTCTTCCAATAGGCAAAAAAAAACAAACAACAGAAAAACCCAAAAGAACCCTAACCTAAAAAAAATACAAAGATTTAAAAAAAAAATAAAAATCAACAAAGTCCTGTTTGTATTTCCAAAACTTCTATAAATCTGCCATCTTCCTGAAGTGGTAAATATCGTGTGTCATTTTGAGCAGACACCAAAAAAACAAGTTACCTGCTTTAGTACCCTTTATTTGTGTAAAATGAGGCTGCTGTTTTTCAGATTTGTATGAACTAGGTAGGGGGGCCTTGAACAGTGATTTCCATAATGATTTAAATGTGAGGAAGAATATTTTACCCTTTCATTGGTTTTTAACCAAATGTGTAAACCAGCTCATGCTCCTTTGGAGGGTGGAGAACTAAAACTGTCTTCTACTGATGTCCAGAAACTGTGTTCTGGAGATGTGGGCCTTCAGTCGCTTTCTTCAGTCAAAATAAGTGCTTACGTGACCAGTACTAGGCTCACAAGGACTGAGTTGCAGAAAGGAAGGTGGAGAGCCTTTTGCAGCTGGTCAGACAGGTACCGCAAGAGGCCTCTTGGATTTCTCAGATTAGTAGCTTGAGGAGAGTTCTTGTTCTGTTAGTCTTTTAGTTTTCTCATTTTTTTCAAAACAGTTAACTTATTCAGTTGAGGGTGGTTTCTAACTAAGTGTCTTCAGAGTTTCCTGCTTTGTTCGGTTACAGTTGTGGTTGCCTAATTTAGTTGTGGCACGTGCTGTCAGATGCCTTTGTGAAAAGCAGATGCACCAGATCTCGTATCCCATCTTCTGCCCCTGAAGACTCCAGGGAGTTACAGGAGTTGCTAATGCGCCTTGTTTCTTACAGACTTTGCTTCCAGGTTGGACTTTTCTGGTTTGGCCTGGGGGAAAGGCTTCTATCAGATCATTTGGAAGTACTTGATGTGAATCCCCTGGTGCCTCAGGAGGACTCAGCCTGCAGCTTTTCCCTTTTCTAGGGGCAGCAGGAAGCCCTGGTGGCTGGTTTTGGGTGTTACTGAATGTTTGTGCACTTGCACATAGTGTAAAATTGATATTAAATTAATTAGCATTACATTAGTTGTCTTAAATTAAATTAAGCTGTGTCTCAGTATTTTCCTGTTCAGCCACTTTGCTGGCTGAAAAAGAGGGCAAATAGATTTTAAAGCCTGAAATTGTTCTGGTGATGACGAGTATAGTACAACCACACTTTACTCCCAAATATTTGCTGCAGTAGGGAGCAGAGTTAAGGTAGAAAAATGAATCAATTACATGCTCTCACCTCTTCCTTTCCACATAAATATCAGGGTAACAAGAACTCAGCAACCTGCTATACTATTGATTAGATCTAATGCAGATCAATTACGGGCTAACGCATGCATCCATGACTCAATAATTACTTCACTTGACTTGCTTACATCACTGCCTAGCTTTGATGACAGTCATCATATGCAGTGCTGGGTCATCTTGATCTCTGATGCTTTTCAGCAGTTGTGTATGAGAGGATGAATGTGATGCAGTGTGACTTCTGTGCCTTGTAGTTTGACATATGGACAGATGTGGAGTCTGGCAGAGCCAAGATGTGGAAGGAGTGGTGACTAGAAGTAACACTGCTTGCCTGTTTTCCCTTTGTATGTGAATCAAGGAAGAAAGTGCAGATGAGAACTGTATTAGTATGCAAACCTTGTTGCAGGTCATCTGGCTTCCTTGCAGAGAGATAACAGAGCTGCTGTACAGCTTGGCAGTGGTACCTTCTAAATTTATCATCCTGGGGGATTTTAATTACTATGGAGGTGATGTATCTACTAAGCTGACACAGTCAGGTGATCCATGACATCATTAGAATGCCTTGAGGTGCTGCAGATATATAAAAAAAAAATAAAAATGGACACTTCTTCAACCTTACCATGAACATCAGAAGCATAATAGTTCTCCCTGCTCTCAGAACCTCTGTCAATCATAGAATATGACTCAGGCTTTTTAATGGCTGGATTGTGGGCCGTCAGATACTATGGCTGTAGTGCTGATAAGCAGTAGGAGTGTTAGTAGTAGTGTTCACTTGCAGGACCTGGCAGGGTGCTGACTTTCTGGCAAAGGCACACAGTACTCAAGAAGTTTGAACACACTTAGAGCATGATGTAGTGTTTCACTTTTCTTTATACATATTTTCTTCATGCGTGTCTTGGATGTCTAGCAGAGCTTTACTTCTCCCAGGTATGAAGAACATGCCCCTTTTCCCCCCTGTGAAACTACTGGCCAAGTCATTAAAAAAGCTGCTAGTGGGAAAATGCACCCAGTCTGAGGGAGAGTGTATCCTGCTGCTACAGCAGGAGAATATATCCTGGCATATCTAAGCATGTGAGGATATAGTGTTTATTTTACAATAACTAGTTCTGCCATCCAAATGTAGGAACAGAAAGCAAAAGCAAACATCTTCATTTTTATAAAGTATCTGAGCACCTTGAATTCTGAATAGAAGAGTGACACAGCAACTAAGCAAGTCTTCTGCTTCTTCCCCTGCTGTTGTTTCTCCAGTCACAAATATAAAGCAAAACCCTAGTCTCTCCTGGCAAAAACTGTATTACAGAAGCAGAATCTGATTTGCCCTGGTGTTGAGAAGAATTGAAATACTAATTAGTATTACTTGTTGAAGTCCATGTCTGACACAAATGCCTTTTGTTTTGCTCACTAAAATGATAATAGAAGGAAAGGAGGTTGTTCACTGCATCACTGAACAGGGTAGACTTGTCAGGTTAATCTATTAGCGAATCTGCTAATCTGTGTTTAAAAATAATCAACTGTGTCAGTGTCGTCAGCTGTGGTGGTCTAAACCCACAAACAAGACAGGATTTGGGTACAGGTTATGAAGTTTTTTGTTTGGCCGGAGTACTCTGAGGAGTAGGTGACTGTATTGGTGCAACTATAGGCTAGCTACAGGAAAATATCTGTATACAGAAATTGGAGGTCAAAGGAGTTAAAATGCTGCCTCTATTTTTTAATCTCACCTTGCCTAAATTAAGCTAAAGAACTACTGAAATGTACTTCTTGAACATTTTGGCTGTTTATGCTCAGAACTCAAGGGGAAAAAAAATAGCTTGAATAGATTGAGTTGAGGAGATTGTTTGATTACTTTTCATAAACTAAATGCTTTATCCTTTGTGTTGAAGTTTGAAGTTTCTTTGGACACTCCTATTTTTAGATCCAACTATGACAACACAAGATACCAGTCAGTCTCAGGCCAGCTCCTGGACGAAAATGCAAGTTGGACCTAATGAATCATCTCCTGGTAATTATTTTATTTTGGAACACCTAAAGCTATAATACTTTTTCCTAGTAATCCTAAGCTACCATGTAGAGTTTACAATTTAGTTCTGAATAAATTTCTGATTCTTCAGAAAATAAGTAAATACACCATCTAGACCTTTTAAAGCCTCTGTAAGTGCTTAAATGTTGTAGGCATCTGAAGGACTGTGGAAAAGGCTATCTAATGGCCAGTTAGGTAATCTGTTGCTCTTATGCATGTGTGCCGTAAAAACAGACTATGACATTGGAGACAGGAAAATGCCCAAACTAGAACCCTTGTGGGAGGTTCTGTTATTGACACTTACACTTGGTAATTTTTCATGTTTCTCTCCTCCTTTGCTTTTGCGTTAGTGAGTTGTACAATAATGCCTTGGAATAACTGTGCCTGCTAGTTTACTCTGCATTTTTTAAATCATGAATGTGTCAAAACTTTTTGTCCCACACTTTATTCACCATATTTTGGACCTTAGTTTTGGTTTTTATAGGAAACAGAGTAAGTTCCAGCCAGGAGAAAAAAACAAAGATGGTTGAGGCCTGCTGCTTCTTTCTTTTTAAAGATGAGAGCAGCAGGAATTCAGTAGTGTATCAAAGCTCATGTTGATTAATGCAAATCAAAACAAGAGTGAAGTTTTACTTATACATGAACTCAAGCAAGTAATGGCAAGTTATTCTGTCTACAGTTTTGTCATTGGAGATAATGCTGTTTATCAGGTGTTCATCTTCAGAGCTTTTAGCACAATGTTTGTGAGAAATAGCAGCGTAGTAGCTTATAGATTAACTCTTTCCATACATAAAAGCATATACATATGAGCTAAAAACACAAAGTATTTTGTATAATGTGACCTCACCTGACTATTTTGATTTCTATATGTTAATTTAAGAAGAAAGTCAGTATGAGGATCCTTTTAGCACACAAAAGATTTTAAAGGTTCTTTAGTTTTGTGTGGGTGGATAACAACTACCATATGAGCTGGCACTGGTGCCTTCTGAATCTGTCATCATGAGGGATTTCAGTAACAAACCAGGTGATGCATGTACTAGACTGATGTAAACTCAGGTGATCCATGACAACCTTGGCATGCTGTCAGGCTCTTGGCACTTACAGGCAAAGGAAGATTCCCTAGGAGGCTTTCAGCTTTCACATGTTATTTCAGGGATAAACACTTGGACTAGTTTGTTTCTCTATCAGGCAGAGATCAAGGCTTGCTTGTGCTCTTGTTTAGAGAAACAGGACTCAGTGTCTCATTCTAGGAGATGACTCATTTTTATTTTGAAGTAATTTTGGACTAGTAGTTGAGATTAACAGCCTGCTGTCAACAACCACCAAATGAACTAGCCTGGAGCTCTGTTATTCCACATCATCCACCTTAATATACACATTTGTTATCTAACCTGGTTAAAAGGTACATCAGGGAAGGTACGAAAGTGCAGATGGAACAAGCCAGGCAAAAGGCTGGCTGGCTATGGTATAGCACTCCTTGTGAGCTGACGTGTTGTAAAAAAAAAATACTGCTTTACAGAAAGTGCCAAGGTACCCTTCTTATGCTTGCTCAGAGACCTTTAGATTCAAAACTGCTAGCAGGGAATTCCAGATTCCCTCAGCTGTAGCCAAGAGTCATGTCTTTAAGAACTTTGAGTTCAGTATTTTATGCAGGAGAAAAGCAGGAGTAATTCTGAGAAGATCTAGGCTTTCAGAAACACTTTTCTACTGTCCAGTGATCAAGTCTGCCATCCAGTGCTTCTCTCAGTGAGAAGATAGAAGCTGTAGCCCAGTTTTCTCTATTTTCCCATGTTTGAGTAGGAGCCTTTTCAATAAATGGACAGAGATAATGAAACCCCTTTCTTTCTACAAAAACTGGAGTAATTTTCTTTCTAAATTAAATCCTCTCAATCATGCAGCAGTCAGTAATTACTGTGTGTATATTCCTGAAATGCATTCTAAAATAATTGACAAATCACTTTGCAAGCATGTAAAATCTGTGACTTAAAACATTTAGTGTCTTATCTACCATGGGGTGGGAGAAATATTTGTATTTCTTTTGTTTCATCACTAAATTGAAATAAATTTTTTTAACAGCTTGTTTTCACCTTTCAGAGCCCATGACAGCTACACCATCTGTCAGCTGGCAAACTCAGGGGAGCCCTTCAACTCATTTGACACTTGGACATACTGTATCTACACCTGGTAAAAGCAATCACATGTCTTCTATTTGAACTGTTAAATTTTGATTACCCTGTTGTTGTACCATGATATTTTTTAATCCATTGGTTATGGAGGATTTTAAAAAATTATTACCAAGGCAAACATTTTGTTTAAAGCTGTATAGAATTGACCTTTCTTTTAAGCATAATTTCCATGGTCTTCTAGAGTGTGCTTCAGTTTACTAGGAACTTTGTATGTAGGTAGTACAACACTAATGAAGCAACTGTGTGTAGATGTGGAAGGACAGCGCTTCCTTAGATGGTCTACATCTGTTGTTGAAACTGTAGCTTATCAGCTTGCTTTTTTGCTCTGTTTAGAAATGTACAGAGCGTGAGAACAAGCGTAGAGGTAGGAACAGACTGCTTATGCTTACAGTTGCCTCCCTGATAGCTGTATTGAGCTTTGCAGAGCTTTATAAATGTAGTCTCTGAAAGTATGCTATCCATAGCCCCACAGAAAAGGGAATTTGCTGGTCTTATTAAACCTTTTAAATACAGTTTTCTGTCGTAGAAGGAAAGGAGTGTATTTTAGTAAGGCATATGATCAATATTGATATTCTTTGTGTGGGGAAGGAAATTCCCTACAGTGTAAAAGGAGTTTTGTGGAGCAGTGAGAGACTCTGACCATGTTCCAGTGGAACACAGGGCATTCTTGCTTCTGCATTCATTAGAACCGCATCATCTACCTCTGGCTTTCTGGCTGTGTTGTTAAATTATAGTGGCTTTGGAAATTGAGTGTTCTGTACTTCTATTTCTTTATTTTTCTTAGTACGTTTCCAAGCTCTACTTAAACACTGATGTGGTCCTTAACAGTTCTATGACCCTCCAATAAATTTTAGGAAAAGCCACATGCATAAGGGACTCTTTTAATCTAGCTGTGAATTAAATAGTTGTGACCTCTTTAGAGTACTGACATTCAAAATTGCAACATCATAATGGGATAATTACTGTAACAGTGGCTACATAACACTGCTTCTCTTAGATAATGATTGCTAACACACAAGATACATGAAGGATATCACTTGTCCAGGTTCTTTTTTCCCCCCTCAAGATTACTATAAGAAACAATTGCAATATCAGATGGGCACTCTGCTGTATGATTACCTTTATATGATCATAACATACCACTTCGATTCCACCACAACCTTATTAGGTCCAGATTTTACCACACAAGATTTCAAGCAGACAACCGAAGAGGACATGTCTAATCTCACTTTTGTCAAGTACGAGATACTCCTACCCGGTGAGTGTTGTTTTCTCTTCAGTAATGTTATATTGATTCTATATTGAATGCCTATGATTGCACAGTCTTTTGTAAGTGTCGCAGAAATATCTAGCATGGCAGCTTCTTGATAAAGTTTATATGCTCTGACTGAGCAAGTGATGAACTCAGTAAAAGACTGATAAGTTTGCAGTAAGTGTTCTAATAACTGTTGTTACAGTGGAGAATGAGATTCTTTCTTTTTATTAAAACCACAAGTAAAAATAACTCATAGCTATCTTCCCCAAGATCAATTCAAGTGACAATTTCTTTGCAGTAGTGAATCCATTTGGAGAGACCATGTATGCTAGGGTACTTGTTAACCAGCAGGTGTTGTCAACTTTGCAGCATTACAGGAGTTAAAGCATGGAGGAAAGGAGAGATAAACATCTTACTAAAGTGGATCTGAAATTTCGGTAACCAAATAAGCATTTATAACTAATTTCTTGGACAACTGGAGAAACAGATGTAACAGATCTTTTTCAGTTGCAGGAGATCAGTTAAAATTCCTTTGTCAATGTGTTGTTACGATATTTTAAAGACATAATTTCATAGCATTTATATCCTGTATTCAAGGAGAAAAATAAGGTAGTGTCTGTTTTTTGTTCTGGTACATGCAGTCTTGGTACAGATGAGATATGAGTCCTGTTAGTTGTTAACCTTCAGCAGCTTAAGGCTTTCATGTTCCATTTGTTTAAAGTGGATTTATTTTTAAAATCTTGAGATACGGATCTTTTTTTAGCAACTGTAATTAATCTGACTGTAAAACTTTTGCTACTGTGACACCAATTCCATTTGCAAAATTACTTTGATCATAAACAACTTCAACAAGGTGAGTTATGCTTGGCTCACTTATTGAGTGTAATGACTCTAATAAATGAGTTGCAGTTACTGACTTTGCCCTGCTACAGAAGATGGAGTTGCACCTCTAAGTTTACCTCCAGTTCAACAGAACTGTAATATTTTGGATGGGACTTTGAGTTCTAGGTGTGCTGTTCTAGAGGCTATAAATTTCTCTGCCAGGTCCAGTGAAATTCAAATATTCTATGGGTGTATCTGGTGCTTCCACTTCAGAGAAGCTTTGCTGTTTCTTAGGTAGGACATGCCTTACTAAGTCAGTAAGCTGTACCTTAAAACTTTCTTTCCTCTCAATGAGTTAGATCTGTGAAATACAGCTGCACTTTTTTGACTAAGTGCTAGAGTGAAGGTCTAGGACTGAGGTGAGGCTTGGAATGAATTTTCATGGAGTAGTCAGATGGACTAACCACAGATCAATCTAGAAGATGTGAAAGGACCAAATGCAAAATAAAATGTCAGTGCTGAGAGGTTCAAAGTCAGATGTGTTTCTTTATAAAAGGCTATTTCTGTTGATCACAGACAGTATCTGCTGTCAAAACCTACTTTTTGGATATGCTTGTGGGGCTTATTCAAAGCAGAAAAGATCGTATTTTTTTCTACTTGATTTGAATGCTTTTCTGTTGTAGTTCCACTAGCTTGCCACTGGGATGGCAAAGGTTTTTTAAAGTGGTTTTAAATATTATGTGGTTTCTAGTTGAGTTAACTAGAATAAAGGGCCAGATCCAACTATGTTAGGGTTTTAGATGTTTTAGATTTTACCAACAACTTTACTGGCAACAGTAACCTCACCTGTAATCTCACAGTATCATAAAAATCTATCACTGGCTAAACCTGGATGCTTTTAGATATTTACAAGTCTTAACTCTTCTTGCTGTTATTAATGTAGCTTTTTATGTATTTACTAATATTTTTTATCAATAAATCTTGCTTTTTTTAATGCCAAATTTGAAGTTGAGGATGTTTAGACTGAGAGCAAATATTGTTCCCCTTGGTGAGAACTAAGTACTTAATATATTTCAATTTTGGTTAAATTATGTAAAAGCATAAGTCTATCTTGCTTTCAGTGAAATTAATATCTGTATTTCTACATAAGATCCCTCTAGGAAGTCTACATACAGAATGGAGTAACACTTATTTTTGTAATGGATAGGTATCATAACTCAGCTACGGCTAAAAAAAATTACTGTCAAACACTGTTTGATTTTGCATGTTTTTTTACCTGGCAAAGTATAACAGCAGCACACTGTATTCACCTGTAATCGAGCATGTATAAAACAGTCTTTGCATCTCTTCCCCAGATTGAAGAAACATGCTTTTAATATTTTTTTAAAACCTTTTTTTTAGGTGCTGCAGGTAATTTCATGGAAAAAAATATCACTTTGGAAAATGCAACTAGAATCGAACTTTCCTGCAGGTTGGACAATAAATATTCTCATTTGAAAAGTCTGCAAGTGACTTGGAAGAGGGGAAAGGAAACAATCAGACACATCAATAAAACTAAAAACAGCTGGAGCATCCAGTGAGTAGCATTCTTTACAGTTTGACTTGCAGGTCCTAAGGAGTTACCACGTATCTAGATTGCCAAATACTGGTCCTGCATATATTAGAAAAGAACCAAATGCAGTGATGAGTATGTGACCATAATCAACATACTGAAGCTACAGGAAAGGAAGAAGGTTGCAATTTCCTCAAGCATGGAGGAAGAGCTCTTGTCTTTCTCTAGTGCTGGGAGAATATTGTTTGTTCAATACAAGACTGTAGGATAACAGCACAGTTCTTTGAGATCCAGTAATTTGGCTCAGTAAGTGCAGTAGTAATCCCAGTCTGAGATTGCTAAAATGGTGCAATTTTTTCACTCCCCCATTTTCCATGACCTGAAACGCATCAATGGCTGTTTTTTTCCTTCATAGTTAACAAAAGATAAAAAAAGTCTGTACTGTAAAGGTGTTTTCATTTTTTAAAAGTTTTCTTAAATCTTTCAAATCTCTGCAGACTCAAGAAATTTAGAAAAAAATTTGTTTTGAGATTTACTGTTGGACTTCATAAATCTGTAAATAATCTGATTATAACAAGGTAGTATCCAGATGATTTTTGTATTGCTTTGGTTTATTAATACCAATAATATTTATATAAAATTTATCTGAATAGAGAACATGATGAAATAGATCAGTAGACAAGTCAGTTTTCGTCTACTCTATATAAATAAACATTTAATTATTTTTCAAATAAACATATATAACCACGGGATACGTAGTTTGCCAGCAGAGAAGATGCTGGACTTCATTAGATGACAGCTCTTCAAAGCTCTTCTGTGTTGGAGCTATGATAACCATTGACTGACTGGCATCAGGAAAGATATTTTTAACTAGTTTGTTCTTTCTGAAGTCCTCCTTAGCCTATGCTTGGTCTAATTCAGTAACATCTAGATCATACTGCTAAAAGATGTTTGGCCTTCTGTCAGCAACAGGGGTGACAATTACTTTTATGTTCACTGGTGTGCTTTTGCTCTTTTCTTAATGTCATGCTTTTCTACATTGCAATAAACCTGAATCCGAGTGTTTCAGTGCTCTGTTCCCTGCTCTGCTACTAATCGCTTCTGGTTTCTTTAGAATGTTAATTAGCAGTCACTGATAGTTGTAGGATGAAAGAAAACATAAGAAAAAAGCTTATAAATGGGTGGAACTTTTTTTGAAGGTTGAAGATCTCGGATAACAGTAAGCTGGGGAATTACAGTTGCACACTGAAAGGTGAAGAAGAAATTGGTGCTATGTTTCGTTTACAAGGCAAGTTATTTTAAGTTTTACTTCCCTTGACCATTGAAATCCTGTATTTAATATGGTTTCTGGATAGTATGGAAATTGCAATTAATTTTATAAACAGTGACTAATATGGTCAGGCTAAGTGAGGATCACTGTAGCATGAAGGGAAGAAGAATTTTGAAGCAAAAAAATAAAATCCTTTTTAACAACTTTTAACAACTGAAAAAACATAAGTTTACTTTTTCCCTAAATGAGTGACTGTCTCCCCTTCCCTCTCCAGCCCTACAGACAGCAGGAGTGAACACTTGCCACTTCCTCAGGAGGGAAGGAAAGAGT